CAAGGGTAGGCCGGGTAGCCTATCGGTTGGAGTTACCAGCAGAGTTGGGGCAGATTCACAACACTTTTCACGTATCGCAGTTGAGGAAGTGTATAGCCGATGAGTCGGCAGTGGTTCCATTAGAGGATATTCAGGTTGATGCAAGCCTGAATTATGCTGAGAGACCAGTGGCCATCAGGGATCGGAAGATCAAGGTTTTGAGAAACAAGGAGGTACCTCTGGTTTTGGTTCAGTGGCAACATCGAAAGGGATCAGAAATGACCTGGGAGCCAGAGCATATGATGCGGGAGCAGCACCCGGAGCTGTTTTAGAGCGAGACTTCGAGGGCGAAGTCTAGTTCTAGTGGGGGAGAGTTGTAACATCCGGACTTTTGCCAGGTATCATGTAAATTGAATTTTGTTAAATTGTGAGGGGGACTCGGCGAGTTGGAGCTCAGACTCGCCGAGTAGAGACGCGGATTGGACGATGGATCGCGCCCGGACTCGGCGAGTCCAGGATATGGACTCGGCGAGTCTGCGCTGTGTAGTGAAACCCTAAATTTCCGGGTTTGAGACCTATTTAAAGGGCCTTATGGCCGTCATTTGTGCTCACCCAACCCTTAGAGAGAAACCCTTGAGTGCTTGGACGATTTGAGAGAGAAAGGAGCATATCTTGACCTTGTGGGTGCCATTTAGCAAAGAAGGAGGTGATCCTAGGCAAGAGGAAGCAAAGGAGGTTGCTATTTCGTGGATTTGCAGCCTAGATCATCAATCTAGAGGTATGATTTCGGTTTATATTCTGTTTGGTGAAGTATTATGCGATTTAGGGCTTATTATGGACACTTATGGGATGATTTGATGCCCAGTGGTTCCCTCCTTGTGCTGAGGTTTTGGATCTGGATCCATAGTTGTCGATGTTATTTGTTAGGTAATAAGTCTATAGCTGTCAATGTTTACTCACAACATCTTTTATCTCTCATCATTCATCTACCCATCTCATACCCAACATACTTGTATATTTAAAATACATATACAGTTCAAATCATTTAAAACATGTATAAAAAACGTTCATCCAGCATAGACAGCAAGTATTCAGATAATATGCACACATAGCACGTAGTTTATATAAAATACTTCATATCTATGTGTAAGATAAAAAGTAACTATGCACTCACCTGAGAAGGTGGTGACTCGGTACTCGGATAACGCTTCGTTTACTTTAAAATAATTTCCTTTGACGAAACCTAGTATTATTACCACTAGATTTTAGTCTAATATTTATCGTGACTAACTATTAGTCTTATTATTATTATATAAGCGTTTAAACAATACTTTCCAACCACTATGTACCGATAGGGGCCAAATATAAAACACCGGAGGACATGACCATTTTGGCGTATAGCATTTCTGAAATCCAACAACTCTATGCAGCCCTTTAAACCAGATTCTTCATACCGCAAGTAGTTAAAAAGATATCATAACGACACTTATATAAGTCATAATAATAGTGTAACGCCCGTGTTTCTAGGCTTGCCATTTTTAGAAATGTAATAGTCTAGGTTAACCTTGTAACTCAACTTGAAATAATAAGAATGTATTATTTGTGAATTATTTGAATTATGTGATTTATGTGTGTATTTTCTTAATTTTTATAATTTAATAAATTAAGAATAAAATAAGCGTCAAAATTTAAGTGTGAGATAAGCCCGACATCTTTGCATAAAGTTGTAGTGGTCAAAACAAGGATTCCGGGGATATAAGGAATGCCAAAATCCGAGTTATAACGAAGAAGTTATGACCTGTCGAAGTTTCGCGACAGAACCGACACGACGTCGAGTGACGTAAAATATGAATTTAAGATAGAGCGATATTTAGCCTTAGCGATCTAAATGAAAGTCGTAGATTTCGTTAAACCGAGAGCGTGCATAAAAGGAACGCCCAAATCTAACTTCGTATGAGGAAGTTATGATTTTATGAAGTTTCGACTTAGCAGTATACAGCCCGAATACTCGATTTGAGATCGAGCGGTTTTTATCCGAAACAATCTAAATGAGAATCGAAGATCTTGTTGTTAGTAGCGAAACGATGAAAAGTTAGGGGAGAACGGACGTCAGACGAAGAAGTTATGAATTTATAACGAAGTTTTTCTGTCCCGGCCTTCTAAAAACAAAAAATAATAAAAATAAAAGTCAAAATTAGCCGACGGAGTCTAAATGAAAGTTGTAGAGTATGGTCTGACCTTCGCGTGGATATAAAGAACGTCGAAAACAGAGCTCGTATGCAAAAGTTATACAATTTAGAAGTTTGACAAGTCAATTACGCCCCGCGTAATTTGAGTACGCCCCGCGTACTCAGTCGGATGCAACTTGTCTGACCAATACTCGAGTGCCACCAGTCGACGCACGCAGTAACGTCAAAGTACGCCCCGCGTAATCCCAGACCCAGCAGCCTATAAATAGAACTTGAATTCAGCCATTTTCTCTTGTTCAAACTCTTCCCTCTCTCTAAGTTTTGCCTCGATTTGCGTGCCGTTTATACCCCAAAGCCCCGGTAATATTCCCGAGCCCCGAAGTAAGATCCGAAGCCCCGAGGATCCCGAAGAGCGTTATTCCCGAGCCGAAACGCTGCCCGCGAGGAGCCCGGTTTTGTGAAGATCTTCCAGATCTACGGAGAAACACCTCTTCTGCACGCCGTAGTGCTGCCCGATCATCTTTTGATCAAGTGAGTGTGTAGTTATTTTCATTCCAATGCAATATTATGAAGTATTTCCTATAAAATACGTGTTATGTGTATATACTTGGTTGTTATACGTGTGAGTGTATATTCACTCTCTTCTATCTTATAGATCTGATGTATTCTCTATGAAATACGTGTTATGTGTGTATGCCTCATCTGTTATGTGGAATATGTATTGATTAAAACATGTTATACAGGTTTTTAAACTATGTATAAAAATGTATATTTTTATCTACTAATATGTTGGGTAGAACATGGGTAGATAATTGGTGTGTAATAAACAGATGAGAGGCCTCGGTGTTATTGGTGTTATTCTAGTCATTCAGCAGAGTATGGATGACGACCACGGACTATTCTAGACTGTCCTGTGGAACACTAGCAGGCTCATTACCTGTAGGTATTGTGAACGACGTGTTCACCGGTGTACTCTATTCCCCACATGGTTGCCTTTAGGACACTTATTGTTGAGGAAGCCCCTCTGCAGTGATGTCCGTCCCGATGAAAAATCCTGAAATAGGTTCCTTATAATAGACGTTATTTTTAGGAACGTAAGGTGAGGATAACGGGAATGGGTAATCGGGTTTATTGTTGATTGTTGAAATTAAATATAATTATTGTGGGTTGAAAACCTTATATGCTCACTAGGCTCCCAAGCCTGACCCACTCAGTTGATTTATTTTACAGGAAGTGGCGCAAGAGCTTAAGATGGGCGAACATCAAGTTGTTTTGTTTACAAGTCTGTATATGTATATATTTGTTGAACGACTTGTAATGTTATCGTTTATGCTTTATGACCTGTATCGGAACATGACATCCCGACTTTTGATTATGAAATGAAATCATATTTCTTTATGAAATGTTTTGATAAATATCTATTTTATCATGTTTTGTTTTTGGGAACAAATTCCGCATCTCTTTTAAAATTAAAAGGATTTACTCAGAAAATTATTTTAAAAAGCATAAATGAAATCGGACTTTTCTGGCCGAGATTTTGAGGATGTCACAAATAGCTCAAATATTTATTATAAATTTATAATAACAATACTAATTTTAAATATAAACTATATTTAAAATAGGGTAAGCATAACTTACATATACGGGGATTTTAGCTAGGAGTCGGGCTCTGAAGGGGGTAGAACTTCATCGCTGAATCTTTCTAAGAAATATTATTGCAGCGCTTCAGCGCTCACCTTACTATACTAAAACTACAGAAAGAGAAGTCGAATCACGAGGGACCGAAATGCTCGGGGGATAAGAAGAGAAAGACTCTTGAATCAAGAGAATGGTGCAAGAAATATGAGAGCCCAAGCCTCTTATTTATAGTAATTAAATTTACAAAAACTACCCTCCATAATTACTTAATGACCTTATAGTTATATAAACGACTAAACACCCCTTCATAATACTATTTTAAATAGATTTAATGATATTTGTACTAAACTAATGTCGAAATAACTCAACATTAGTCTTATAATGACCGCATTGTCGATACCTTTCTAATGATATATATATATATATATATATATATATATATATATATATATATATATATATATATATGTATGTATATATATATATATGTGTGTGTGTGTGTGTACGTATATATGATTTATACTTTATTTTAATACGTAAATATGCTATTATAATTTGTAACTCGTTCATACGAACTCCGTTTTTGACGTTCTTTATATCCACGCGTAGGTGGAGATGTACTCTACAACTTTCATTTAGACTCCGTCGACTAATTTTGACTTTTTTTTTAAAGTTATATTTTTAACAGGCCGGGACAGGATTAGTCCGTTAAAATCTTATAACTTCTTCATCCGATGTCTATTTCCATCTATCTTTTTATTGTTACTCTATTAATAATGAGATATTCGATTCTCGTTTAGGTTGTGTCGGCTAAAAATCGTTCGATCTAATACTTGAACTTCGGGTTGTACACCGCTAAGCCGAAACTTCGAAAAATCATAACTTCCTCATACGAAGTCAGATTTGAGCGTTCTTTTTATGGACGTTCTCAGGTTAACATATTCTACGACTTTCATTTAGATTACTAAGGCTAAAAGTCGCTCTATCATAAATTCACTATTTACGTCTTCGCTGTGTCGTGCCGGTTCCGTCGCTAAACTTCGACGGGTCATAAATTTTTTGTTATAACTCGGATTTCGGGGATCTTTATATGTACAAAACCCTTAAGACATATTCTACAACTTGGTTAAATTATTTATTCTAAATAATCTTTTGTCAAAAAGTCGTTTTCGACCTTTATTATCTTTAAATTTACTAGCCCGGATCTACAGGCGTTACAATACCCATTAACAATTGCATAGTTTCTCATCATGTTTTTAAGCTCATTAGGGTTTGAAAATCGCATACACAGTGGTTTCATCTGATTCCATGGTTGTCTATCATCATGCACATGGTATTGAGGTTTAACATATTCAACATCTTCATCTACATTTATTGTATGTAGACAAAGTTTGTTTAAGAACCTGTCACCCATGGTTTTGTTGGCTGGGAATGGATATTCAACATCACCTTCTTCATGGTCAACAGAATAAGTGTCCGACAAGACTAAGTCTTCATCCTCTTCACAATTGTAGTCTTCATCTTCATTTTCCTCTTTCGCAATCCATTCGAATATTAGTTTATTCTGGTGTTCTACATACACATTCCTTCTCCTCTCATTTGCATAAGCCAAATCCAAAAATTCTTTGTAATCACCCTCATTCACCAGTGTATGAATTCCCTGACTTAAAGACTCTTGTGGAAGGTAGAAGTAGATGTCTTTGCTTCTCATTCTGGTGAGCTTGTGAAGGAATTCAATGAACTATTCATACTCAAATGCACTGAAGTCAACATCTTGCACTGATGTTCTGTCGGGATCAAAGTATACTACTGGTTTGGGTGCAAATGTTCAATTATAGTGGAAATCCACTACAATGAAGTTTCGATCAATGGGACATTGTGATGAAACCATTATAGAGACCGATTGAAGATTGAAGGAGGTTCATGAGACTTCGTGCCCTAATCAAATTTAAGGATCAAATGAGACTTCGGTCTTAACTTTAATAAGGAGGGGAGACAAAATCAGGGCCTACATGCCACCTCATTGGCCACGTAGGATAAAAAAGGACACCTAAGATCAATTCAACCGTTGAAACCGGCTAAAATCGATCATAAGGGCAAAATCTACACAAATCAACAAGTTAAAGGGCTCTTAGATCACGAAAAAAAAAAAGTTTAGTGATCAAAAGTAATAGTATGTTACCCTCTCAAGTCATTATCCCTATAATTTGGTGATAGTAATTGATATGGGCCAAGGGCCATGGTGGTAATGAATTGTACTAGATTCGGATTCAAACAGTCGATTAAACATAAGACCATTAAACATATTGACAATCTCAACCTACCTAACTTATGTAACTAAATACGACTTATTTAGTTAAAGGGTTTGAAATTTTCTTGTTAAGTCAACAGGTTGACCTATTTATTGCTTTCTCGGTCCATTATTTTATTAAATTGACCGATTAAAAAATAAAATTAATATAAAATATATAAAAAAAGTTACATCTAGTTAAATTTGTTATAAACTTCAATAATTCTTAAAAGTTTGAAAATTAGAACTACAAGTACAAATAAGAAAAACATTAATGATTCATTTCACAAATAAGAAAAATTAAAGAAATAAAATGGTTCAAACATGGTTTATCGAATTTAAATTCAAATACTTTAATCAAAATAAATTGAAATACTAACATAAAAAAAAGGTCAAAAGGTAAAATAATTATCAAATTGTTGAAAAATAAAATAAAAAATAAAAAGAATAATGCATATATATATATATATATATATATATATATATATATATATATATATATATATATATATATATATATATATATATATAAACTTTTAGATTTTCATAATTGATCCCTGAGGTGTACATAATTTTTAGAATTTGTCCAAAGGCATTTTGGTTGTTTATAAAAAAAACTAAGTACTCAAAAGTTAAAATTAACACTAGAAGGACCATTCATGTAATTTCTGAAACCATAGGGACCAATGAATTGACATTTTTCACAAAAGTCCACAGAATGCAATATTTTGCAAACAAAAGGATCGGTTATGAAATTTTATCTTTATTTATTTTTGTTTCTAACATCTGATAGTTTTATCATGTGGTATGTTATTTTGGATGATTCTGTAGTTTAATTGAAAAAATAATTGAATCCAAAAAAATAAAATAGTAAGTTATTTGAAGGAAAGAGTAGGTACGAGGTTTTTCTTATGTTCATCAAAACACCAAACCATAGTTTTATTGAGAGCATATAGTAAATCACTTACGGTTTTGTTGAAAAAAAAATGAATTTTTTTATAATGCGAGATGAAACCGAAACCGTATGCATCTTAGATGGGCTACAAATTGTTGGCTATTGTTTACTAATTACAAAATTGTAGTTATTAAGTGAAAAGTAATTAACAAATATGGCTAGTTTTGTCAAAAAAAAAAAAAAAAAAAAAAAAAAATTCTATTATAGTTTTCTGATTTTGTACTTTTTAAATATAAAATAATAATAATAAAATTTAATATCTATAATAAAATAAAACAATTATTATATCTAAATGGGCTGACGCGTTAAAATCAAGTTCGAAATTTCAATCTTAGTCCAACTTATTTATTAAATGGATTAAATAGTTTGAACCTTAAATCCTTCACCTTCTAATTCCTCATTCTGTTGGGATGTGTTGCAAAAATATGACAAGATATATGCAATTAAATCAAATTTAACTTTCTGTACTACATTGCATAGACAAGGCATGTCCAGACGAGCTATTTAGATATTGTTATCCCATTTGACAATACTTTTAACAAATATGATACTTAAAGCAAAAGAAATACTTTTCCAAAAAAAAAAATAATAATAATAATAATATCTATGTGAAATTTTCAAATTCCCAAAATGGTCCGGATCTGATCGGGCGGGTGCCTAGCCAAGGACTTAGGATCCAGATACCCATTCTTAGGATCCATTATTGCCTTATAAATAACCTCATAACCTTCCGCCAGCGATCTCGCCACCTGGACGGAAGCTTCCGACCGCAGATGTGGGAGCTGCATCTCTTCAAATTCGGGCAGGGAGGTGTCGCTGCCCAAAATCAAGCCAAAAAAGGCTTTGAGACACTCAGATAGAGCTGCCGGAGATGTTTCTTCCATGTCAGATAACGCTGATGCTGAGTCAGATGTGTGAAGGAAGAGTGGCATTTTGTTTGAGAGACCACATTTTGTTAAAATAGCCTTCACTTCCTTTTCCACAAGGCTGGACATGTGGCTATCGATCATTGCTCCGAGTTTTTTCACGTATCCAGACGCTGCAACTTGGTGTTTTAGTAATGGTTGTTGGATTGCACATAAGCAGTTGATGATGAAAATCTTTGATGCTGTTTCATTGCTCTACATTGCAATTTCTTCATTTAGGTCTATACACAAAAAAGAAGAGAAACACACACATCTGTACCTATACGTACGTACCTTAGATGGAGCTACTTGGGTGGGTGTCAAAATAGCATCGACAGATGATCTTCGCGATTGGGCCACGTCAGACCTGGTTCTGTTTCTTCTAGATGAGTCGATGGATCCTTTTGACTTGTGAGCTTCCATTGCTTGCTCACAAATCTAAATGAATGAAGTGAGGCATCGGAAACCCAAGTAAACCAATCATTTAATTGGGATGAGAGAGAGAGAGAGAGTGTGTTACCTGAATTATGGGATCAAGCAAAGCGGATATAACGGGATCAAAGAGTGGCTTAATCCCAGAAGCAGGAACCATCATGCTGTCATGAATTGTGATTAATTCAAGCAGCAAAGAGACTCCTTCTCTTACTGCTGGTGGTGGGGAAAGATCAACAGCAACCAGAGGCGGATATCTCAGAAGCTTCTCCCCTCTAACTTTCAAAATCTCAAAGAATGTCTTCTGAGCAGCTTCCTTTAGACCCCACAGTGTATTACAAAGTGCTGTTTCTCTCCCTAACAGATCTGACACCTATAATTGTCAAAATCCGTTACACACACACACACACAATTGTGAAAAAAACAAAAAAGAATAAAAAGATTTAAGAGTTGAAATTACAGTGTGGCTGTAGAACTCAAGGGTATTGCTAAGCTTATATGAGATTATAAGATTAGGTTGAGATTGCAACACTTGTTCAACTCTGACTTTAAAAGGTCTACAAACACCTTCAAAGATTCTATCCAAAACAAAGGTCAAATCTGTTTCTGACTTTTCCTTTTCCTTTTCCTTTTCCTGATTATTATTATTATTATTATTAATCTCTGAGCTTGAGGTGTTTGTGGAGAATTTACGGGCAGTTGGTCCGGTATCCACTACTGCATCTGGATCAAGCAACACGAATACAAGTTCTCTTTCGGATGCAAGGGCCTGCAAAAAATAAAGTAGTAAATGACCATTTTACCCTGGAGCGTTGGTTTATACTGAAAAGTGAACTAATATCATACATACCTGATGCAGCCAACCGAGCATGTCACCTACGTAACGAAGTGGATCATGGGCATGAACTTCAATGGGCCTGGGCATGCCACCAGGCCCACCACGTGTAAGAGCACTGATAAATCTCCTAAATAGTGCATTGTGCCTCATATTTGCTACCTACAATTACAATCACTCATTTCTTCTTATTTTAAACCTGTTACCTCATTTGCTATAATTGAGTAGATTTTCAGATATAAAATACATTACTATTACTATTACTTGCATTTAGCCCATTGTATTTTGAACATGTCTTACCTAAATCTCTTTATAATAAAAATAGATATATGTAGTTGTATTCAAAATACCATGGGCCTAACATGCCAGAATTAGTATCCAAATTTTATTATAGAATTGTACTTCCATTTTGTCTTATTAGGGCATTGTAGGTTAAAATCTACTCATAATTTATAGCAGGTAACAGGTTACCAGTTACATATTCAAAATACATGTGATTTTTTTTTTAGATTTAGAGAAAAAGATTTAAAGGGAAATTACCTCTTCAGCACAATACTTGAAAAGTACAGGTCTTTCTTTGAGAGAACGAACTGCCATTTTCAGAAGCTCACTTACTTCAGGATTATCAGTGTCCCCCAATCTCCTGCACTCTGTCTGAACCCATCTGAATGAATAATAAAAGTCAAACAGTCAGTCAACAAAAAGAAGATAACCAAAAAAGTTTGGGAATGTTTCACCTGCACAGGCGTTCATAGGCACCTTCTTGATAGACAGCCATCATATCCATCAGCTCCAAACCTGCTCGCTGTCAACAGTAAAAAATCAGAATTGAAAATAACCAACCAAAATAAGAAGCTTTGAAATAGCTCAAAAAGCATCAAGAATTTGTATGAGTCCAAATATTTCATAATCTAAATCTCACTTATGTAGCTTAACAGGTCTTATCAATGATTCAACATAAAGGATAACAACAGTAATAGCATTTCTCAGACTCTGTATCTGTTTATCATATATCTTATCAGTTTCAGGCATAATTTGCATTGAACAACTAAGGGCCTTAATCTTTGTTCCAGTTTTATTGGCATATCTGCAGAAAATAAATAATCATAGCACAGAAACTTTGGTTCTCATATATAAGAACTAAACTATTTGATCAAATCACCCACTCTATATACACTTCATATTTGATACAGAATACAAAATTCATCCAAAAAAATCTTTTCAAGTAGCAAAGAAGGCCTCCCTGTCTATGGGGGAGCTATGCAGAAGAGTTACCTGATGATGGGTCCTGAGA